TGACAGATTTACAGCAATGTCTTTTTACTGCTAGCCTAAAGTTAGAGCATTTAAACTAAAGATGAGCATTAGGCTAGCTGCTGCTCTTACCAGTCCAAGAAAGGTTATACTAATAGTATCACTGCCTGTATTAAAATAAGCAAGAGTGTGGTTTATCACCCATTAATTCAAATAGCAGTTTGAAATATGTGAAATATATCTTACTTTGTTGTGCAGGCAGTTTACAGTTGATGTGTCTTTCATACTAAAATGTATTATTTTTAATTAATCAATGATTAGGTGACAGATAATTATAAATATTAATTCAAAAATCATTTGTTACGCATTTCAAAATCTATTCTACACATCTCTGTTTTAGATCCAGAGGTCGGCAGAGTCCAACGTGACCTATGATCTTTTCATCGTGGTTGAACTGGGAGGCCTTCAGCACAGGAAATACCTGATTAAGTTCTCGGAGAAGAAATGCTCCGGGAGGCGGCTGGAGTGCGACTGGACGTACGAGGCTGAAGCGGTCCAGTTCGAGAGACGATTCGCCCCCAGTTTGACGCAAACCGGGAGAAGACTCCTCCCTGTTCTGAGTGATTGTTACAAGCTCATGTTTGACCAGGATACAAATCTTCTCTACAGCACAACCTATCTGTAAGTTAATCAGACTTTTACTAATTATGTTACGTTTCTGAAGATGTAAACATTATTGAGCTTATTCTACCTGCAACACTCCTGGTAACACACTGTAATGCTTTTTATTCATATGAGATATTTTGATGAACATGACACTTTAATTCTGAGTTATAAGATGAATCTAGAGCTGATTATTAGTCATTTAATTGAATTGAATTGAGAGAAAGTAAATTAATATAAATTTAGCATAAAAGCATGTTCAATCAAAAATGTATTCTATCAAGTTTGAAATTCTGCTGTTTTTCTTCCTTCTTTTTTTGGCAGTAAATTATCTTAGCCTATTAAACTTACTAACTAGCTAACTTTCATTTTCTTTTCTATATTCAGAAACCATAACTATGAAAAGATCAACAACAAATCAAACGAATGAAAAGATTAGAAATCTTCTATTTGAGCCCAACTGGCATCTTGTTCTTGTAAATTCTAGTCGTTCCCCCTTTTGTGGCTCTTCCCTCTTTGGCTCTCTAACTTTCCACTCTTTACTTCATTCTTGGGCAGTCCAGAAAAGACGACAGTCAGGATGACGCAGGACTTCTGGGAGTACCACGCTAACGGAGATGTAAAAGCAGGACCCATCTCTGATAACTACATCTTCAGTGCGAACGGTTCAGCTGTGCGGGCGTACGAGGCCGTCGAAATGGAGATCGTCCCCGGGAAGGTCGTGACAGAAATCAGGCAACACTTCTACAGGTGGCTAACATTTGTTTTTATCTGTCTATCTTTTGAATACATATTTTGACATTAAAACTCAACTGTTGCAACCTTCCTTCCAGAGAGAAAAACGATAAAGACTACGCTTACTCCATCACCACCCGTGTCCCAGAATGCTTTGGGAGCAGGCCTCGGTGTCACAGGCTGGAGCAGACGTACTCTCTGGGTCCCCTCCATCTCAACACTGAGGTCGTCCTCCGAACCGGCTCCTCCTTGCAGAACAACAGGACTCTGTACACGGATGACAACGGCTACCAGATGATGAAGAGAACATACAGGAAGTTCACGAATAACACTTTAGCGAGAGTAAGAGTTTGAATCAATGTTTGAGATTCAAATCCATTAAAGTTGACCTGGTGTTTACTCAACATGTCGGTGACATGATGTGCTTGTTGCAGAACTACTTCCCCATGGTTCGGGCTGCCTACATTGAGGACCGCCTCAGCAGACTGGTTCTGGTTAGTGACAGAGCTCATGGCGTGTCAAGCCAAGCTAACGGAGAACTAGAGGTAAAGCGAAATATCTAAAGATGCTGAATCACACCAGAAGCAATGTTTTCATCATGTGTTTTTCCACCCAGGTTATGCTCCATCGCCGTCTTTGGAACAACTTACCCTGGAACCTCGGCTACAACCTGACGCTAAACGACAGCTCGGTCGTGAGGCCCACTCTGTGGTTGATGCTGGGCTCCATCAGTACCACTACCAAGCTCTACCACAGGGAGGCGATAGAGCTGCAGCACAGACCTGTCGTCATGCCAATAGACCAACCACGTAAATCAAACGTTTTCAGGGCTGCTTAACACAACACAGTGGGGGGGGTGCTTAATACAAACTCTGATCTTACCTAGCAACCTGATAGCTTTGAATTCTTGAGCGGGAATGAAAACAGACCTTTTCTGTGTGGATTGTACGCTGATATGACTATTCATCTGAACTCTTGAGTACATTTTCTAAAACAAATAACCAAATGAAAGAGTATGTATTATAATAATACAACTTCAACAGTTTTTAAACCAAGTCTAGTGCTGACCACAGACTGCTTAGCCGTGTTGCTCTGCTACATATGACTTTACAGTGTTGCGAGATTTATACTTCACAAACTACATGACTCCATTACTCAGCATTATTTCTGCACTATATTTTAAAATGATGTCGTATTCGCACATTAGAAAACATAAACGCCAATTCAGATATATCTGTAAAAGGCCGATATCGGCTTATCATATCGGCCATCCAATTTATCGGCCATCCAATTTATCAGTCTGTAATGTTTTTTTTGTTTTTGTTTTACTTTAAGAGAGGCCCTGGCAGGAGGAGAAAACAAAAGGAGGTTCTGTGCGCTTAGTGGTCCTGCCACCCAACCTCCACCTGCTCAGCTTCAGTGTCCCTGGATGGAACTACAGCTCCAACCACAATGTTCACCTCGGCCACATTCACTCAGGTGAGACCTGTCCTCTCGCACAAAGCTGATTTATGTGAGTGAAATACAGAAAACGTAATACTTATAATGAACTTCTAGGTCAAGATTTGCACTCTGAGCCAGACTACAATCGGTCCTGTTAAGAATCATGCATCTCTTCGAGGAGGGAGAAGACCCTGAGCTATCAAAACCGGTCACCATAAACATGAAGGTGTTTTTCATAAAATACAACTTCATTTCTACATATTATTGTCAAGTGTTACAGCAACAATATTCATCATTTTGAAATGCTTTCTGCATTATCTTTCTTTTTCCTTTTTTCAATGTTTTTTTTGTCTTGTGTAAACAGAAAGTTTTGCAGGGGGTAGGAGAAGTAAAAGTGCTGGAGGAGCGTTCTCTAACAGGAACCTGGGACATCAAGAGTCTGCAGAGGTGGAAGTGGAACACTACAGATAACTTGGACACAAGTAAGAGATCCCAAAAAAAATGAGGGCATGGGCATTTTAATAGATTTAAACATGACAATATGTTTCACATGTTGTGAAATATCTTTCTAACATGACTTGTGTTTCGTTTTTTCTCTCTCAGACGAAGACGGGTGTTGGAGTTATGGAGATGATGCCTTCACTGTCAGCATCTCACCCAAAGAGATCAGGACCTTTTTTGTCCACTTTGCCTCGAGAATCTTTTAGACTGAGCCGTCTTTTTGTCTTCTATGAAGATCTTTAGAAACACCATGACAGTTATTTTTGAAAGATTTAAACCTTTGCTGCACTGTTTATTAATGCTTTTTTTTTGCACCTTTTGGTAATTTGTGAACAAGCGCTGATGTGTCGATAATGTTGTGAGAGCTCCAATATGGAGTCCCTGTTGACTCTCACTAAAATCATGATTATTTGTGTTTGAATATCTGATTCAATTATACAGGCCAATCACCAGCACAGTAACATTTGTGAAAAAAAAATAATAATAAATGTACCATCAATGCATTTTCTTCTTCTAATGTAAAGAAGGATTATTTCTAAGGAAATTTTAGCCTTGTTGAATGAAAGCCAACTCTGGCTGACTGAAACCCACATAATTGTAATAAAAGCATTTTAAAAGTCACTCAATTTCTTCACGAGACATTTTTAAAATGTTTTTGTGAACAGAAGGGAGTGAACTTTGCATTTGCAGCTCAATGAAAAATGACCAGATTTCTTATGTGTAATGTACTTCTGAAAAACATATACAAATCATTTTCATACCAGGCACAAACATAAGATTGATATCATGCATTTATCCTCAATAAAAGGCTAATGCAAAGGGACATTTAGCTTAGCCAGGGTTGCTAGCTTGCTCTCAGGTAGCTCTCACAATGCTCAGAGAAATCATGCCTTGGGCCCCCAAAATACCTTATGAACAGATAAAAGTTATATGTTAAATAGGCTCTCTTTGCACAAAATATCAGCACCAATATTGGTCCATATGTAACACAAACCAGGGGACACATGTTGTGTGCATTCAGGCACACACAGACCTTAAAACAAAAAATTATACTTTTAAAAGAGTTTGTTAGATTTATATTGAGTATTGTCTCATTCCCTTTTCAACCTTGGACAATAGGATACTCAGAAATGTACCCTTCATTTATATTTGTTTGGACCCCCCAAAAAAAAACATGTTGCCTGACAAGCTTACTTACAGCAACATGACAAATAATAATATCTACCTTCACAACAAAAACACTGAATAAAAAAAGTCCTCCCACTTGATAGTTGTAGATGGGCAAATGTTCTTAGCTGAGCAAAAGCCGGTTAGAATAGGGTGCCACATTTTATTCAAAGTTTTAAAGGTAGGCTATGATTTACAAAACATTTAGTAGGCTACATAAGTTAATATTATATTTATTGGTTTTAATGATGTAGTTGAATTATTTTAAAGTAAAAGATTGGAGGCTACGACTGCAACACCTGTGCAAACACTTCATGTTTATGGCTTAGTTTCTCTCGTGGGTAGCCTGCCGACTTAGATTTGAATGAGAGCAGGTCTAAAATAAAATAAAAAAATCATGTGGTTTACTTAAAGCGTCATCTTGAAACATTTAATATCTGTATCTTTATGTGTTTTAAAGCATATCCTCAAAGTATAGTTTTTGCTGTCACACTGCAGCTTTATGGTAGTTCACCGAAGTGGCCGCTAGGGGGTTTCAAATACCCATTACTAAACCAACTTCACACTGCAACAGACTGGCTGGTGAGCATGCAAAAGGCAACACCCAGCAAGAACAACAAACCCTCGTCCTGTGTGTGTGTCACTGCAGCAGTTTACAAGATAACGACGACGTGAGAAACAGGACGATGTTTAGCTCTTTAAGTGACGGCATGTTGTAGTTTGTATCACGCCATGTTTGCCAGGGAAGACGACGAGTGCAATTTGGGACAGAATGTGCAGTGTGAGTCGTCTCCTTCATCATTTGCTCTTTAAATCAGCTGCAATATTTTTTGACTCATTGATTGGAAGCAATCTGTTTTGATGCATGAGATATAATGCTGCAGCTTTACATTGTCCCTGTTTTTGGCATCTTGTAGTGTAAATGAACGATGCCTTTGTTGTGAACAGGGATGCTGAGGAGGGGGGGGTGGGCGTTTCTTTGCGTTGCTAAGATACAGGGAAGGTGCTGATGGTGTTAGCTGCTTGCATTTTAAATCAATGTAGTTTCTCTTCAAATAGAAAAGAGAGAGGGAGCAGAGGAGGAAGCTACACCACTTCCTCAGTGACCTGGCTCTGCTTGGATCGTTGCAGGTCAGTGAATTCAACTTCAAGCACATTTTAAGTGGTGATTGTTTCCTATTTCTTGCAAGTGATCTTCGTTTCTGTTGCAGGGCTTCAAATACTTCCAGCCTTGGCTAAGAGGGAAGGAGGAGTTGCTCCTGACGGTAGTTAATGAGGATCTGGTACGCTTATTTAGAGATAACACATTTAGCATTTATTACAAATTCCCAAGGAGTTCATAGATGATGACACTGTCCCCTCCACCCTTTTCTGCAGGGTTGGCGCTCCCCGGGTTTCGCGGTGTCCCGAGCCTCCTCCTTCACCTCCACCAACAGCCGCAACAGCAGCGACGTCTCCCCCAGCAGCAGCTCCCCGAGCCTGGACAGCCGCGGCAGCTCTCCCCTGCCCGGGGAGCCCGCTGGCCCTCGAGACCCCCGCCTGCACACGCACAGCAAAACTCAGACGCACACACGGTGGGTGATGCCCGCTACACAATTTTTTCATTTTTTTTATGTCGCCGTCATCACTTTTCACTCCGAGGAGTGTGTTGTTGTCTGTTGTTGATGCAGATTTTAGACACTAAAATGCATCATTTGTCCCCTCAGGGAACTCAGCAGAGAGGAGCATCTCCTTCCAGCGTCCCCGAGTGAAAGAGAGATAGCAGTGCCGGTAAGAACTTCAACAAGAAAGAAAAACCTGTAGACAGTGAGTCAGATTTTCAGAAAGCCTCTAACTTTAACCTCGACTTTACCCCTACATCAGGAGGTGAACTGCACTCTCTTTTTACTGGCTGGCTACGTCAAGTACGGCCGCCCCTACGCCTGGATACGCTCCAACCACGAGCGCCTTGTCAACATCGGAGGCACTGACTCGATGGTAAAGGATACACCCATGAAACTGAAGTCCATCGGGGACTGGCAGACAAGAGGTACGGAAACAATGTGAGGAATCCAAACAGGAGAAAGTTATTGTTTCACTGCACGGATTAAATAATTACACCACTTTCCATGAGCTTAACGAGATGCAGATGCTTGGCTTTAAAGTCTGTTAGAAGTGGATTAGGCTTGTGGAAAAAGCTCCAGGTGCTTATGATTAAAACTCTAACTTACAGTACTCGACTTTTCACAAATATTTCATACAATTTTCGGTGTTTTTATCTGTTTCTTCATTGTTGTTTTTCTAAAAAAAGGTATTCGTGTCTGGGATGTGGTCAGTGAACTAGTCTGTCTGTGCACCGTACCCTCTCCCTCCAACCCCTTCGCCTTGGACATGCGTTACATCAAAAACCTTCCCCTTCCTGAACGCTTCCTGGTCACTGGTGCGCTTCTAAATTTTCTGGAGATGTATGTGGTGTATGGAGACCGGGACGAGATGCACTATGACAAAGGTAAGGGTTCATATTTTATGTTCAAGTATTTATAAATCCAGTAGGTGGTGCTCTTCAGCTGTGTAACAAATGATAGAAGACAGAGCCTTCCCACTGCTCTAGTTACATTTTAAAAAAAAGGTACAAGTAATAAATGTTTTGTTTTCTTCTTTCAGTAACTGAGGAGGTGAAGCCTCTGAGGCGTCTTCATGTCCAGTCCCTGTTGGAGTTACAGCGACACAGAGAGAGCACCGGATTGTCTGTCCCCACAGCACAGAACTCTTCTGGAGAGGAGTAAATAAAGACTAAGAAAGAGGAGACATTCTGTGCATTTTTACTGACTAATCGTAAAAAGAAAAAGACAGATAGAGAGAACGTAATTACAATCTCTCACCTGCTGGTAGGACTGTTTAAGGCATTTTTGTTTGTCTTTAATGATTTCTGTGATTTAGTTTCCCTCATACCGACTCTACAAGCCGATTTTCTCAAGGCTGCACTTTCCGTTTAAGAGCCGTGTCTGCATCATTCCTACAGTATGAGTGGTAGTCACATGTATTTGAATGTGAAAACAGCAGCGAAACAACCCTGGGAAACCAATCACATGACTGAGATTAAGCATCCCAGGACCTCTCTGAAAGTCTCCTGCCCTGCCACCCCCGAATCCTTCAATTCTGCCCTCCCGCTCACAAACAGACAGGGATTCTGTTTTCCTCGGGCCAAATATAACATTCAGCAAATCTGTAAACAGAATCATTCATCAGGGTCAAAGCTGCAAGACGCGGAGGCCTTTTTTCAAAAACGTGTCATTTAAACAACGCAGCTGTGCGAGAGAAAATGTTAAGACACATGAAATGCTGTATAAAAAAAGTTTTAATACTCCATAAAATACATATTTAATTAAATATGTACAATGACATAAAACAGCACATTTATAAAACACGCTTTAAGCAGGCGCTTTAGGGCCCCGTATTGAGAAAGGAGCTGTGCCGTTTGTAGTTGTAATAAAAATACATTAAGAGTTTAAAATGTTAAAATGTGCAGGTAACAATTGGCACATCAGTCAAAAACACTTTCCTGGCACAAACAAAATGTAAAAAAAAAAAAAAAAAAAAAAAGTTACTTTCCTAGCTACGTTTTGGTTAGCAATTTTAGCCTCAGGGCGCACAACTAGTCTTCAACTCTCTCATTTGTAAACCTTAAGACAGAGTGTGCCATCAGGAGAGCTTGTTATGCAACCTGGCACATATTCGACTTTAACTGAAGCAGTTAGGGCACCTTTTATAGCTTTTATTATGTGCCCGAGTGAAGGGTGCAGCGCTACAAGCACCGATTGACTTTGCTGCTCAATATTCAGAGTCATAGCCGAGCATGGAGAAGAATTTGTGTCTTTTTTTTTTTTTTTTTTTTTTTTTTTTAAGAGAAGATCTTGCGACTCAAATTTCCCTCCATTGGAATGCAGGTGCATGGCCGCGCATTCCACATAGAGGCTCCACATGAGGAACACAGCGTTCCCAGTGTGCGGACACAAACAGACCCTGCAAGTCATGGCCGGGTGTGCTTTTTTCCACATAAATGCAAATAATTCACTTCAAAAAAAAAAAAAAAAAAAAAGGACAGTCAGAATCTGTCCCTTATTGCGGGGATGTTGCTCTGGTGCGTGTGAGGAGGATTTTAATTCTGATTTTTTTTTTACATTTTGTGTTGTGTTCATGTGTCACATTTAACAGGTGGGAAATAACAAAGCGCCCAGAAAATATTAACTGCATTAATTCGCTTTTCAGACCAGTTTAACTTACACTCATCTGTGGCTTGTCATCTACGTATTCTTGGCCAAAACTCTCACACAACCTACATTAAAAACATATGAGGGGATGATGCTTGCTAGTGCCACATGCTTAGAAATAAAATCGAGCAACCTGTCACAAACATCGATTAAATAAAAGTCAGTCTTAAAAAAAATAAAATAAAAATCAAGACTCTCGTCTTTTTTTTTTCCTCCAGTTTTTGGTTGTCAATCTGTCAAACAGTTTAGAAACAGCTCAAAAGATGTCAGTTTTATCATCAACTGTATTTCCAGCAGCCAAAACAGAGCAAAGGAAATGAACCAGTCCACTCCTCGAAATGGCCTGCAGCCGGTTACAAGTCCTCACGTGTAGCAGCTGTCAGCAAGTATTTAGTGCCACAATCGACGCCACTCTTGCAAAAGTCAAGAGAACTTTGATGCATCAAAAACCTTCAAGTCCATACGCTCGCTGATTATGACGTCGTCCCATCACAAGCAGAGTCCTCACATGTTCACCACCTCCTGGTTTTATCCCCTTTTGTCATTCCCTCGGTGTCGTAACATTCCCTCCCTCTGGTCAGTGCTGCCGTCCTTCAGGTAGTCGTCAGGTTAAAGTAGTCCCCATGTTCAAAAAGGGTTAAAGCTGCGGTTCAGCTCCAGCTGTCAGAGGATGACCCTCGCCTGCTGATGGCCCTGAGGGGGCTGCGAGACACCGAGCCTCTCTTCCTCCAGCGAACTGAGGAGTGAAAAGAAAGAGACAGTGATGTTAGCATAACAGCAGCAAACACAACTCCAACAGTAGTCTTTACATACTGGACTCCAAAGTGTCCTGGTACGGCTTCTCATTTACTACATCAATTCATTTTACTGAATGTTCAATCAATCTTTATTTGTACAGCACCAATTCACAACAAGTGTTATCTCGAGACACTTTCCAAAAAAAAGGAGCAGGTAACAGACCTTACTCTTTGTAATTTAATGATTTTGCTTTATCTTATTTTGTCAAAACAACTTGGATCAGATTTGCTTATTTGAATAAAATTCTTCCTAAACCAGAGTCTGAGATTTTAACATGTTAAAATACGTTTTGCCATTAAAACATTTAATTGGGGGGAGAGGGGGAAAACAGGCTATAAAATTTGAACTACGCTGCGCTAAAGTTATTTAACAAGTCTTATATCTTCAATAAATTAAAAAGTGCTTTGATATTTTTGGCTAGTTAATCCAGCCTAGTCACAATTAAGAAACTTTCACATCAGTTTAGAAATTAGATTTTGACTCTGCAATGTGTTCTTTCTAGAGGAAAAAAGTTATCTCATTTGAAAAGAACTATTTCCAATCTGACATTCAAGCAAATTCAAGCTCGCTTAAATGATATGCGTAACTGCTTTTCGAGCATTTCTCAGAACTACAAATCATTTGAAAAAATGAGTACTTATGTTCGCAACAGGGCGTCAATATTTGTAATGTGGATTTGCAGTCAATTTTATATCGAACTAATTCTGACTTAAAACAGCAAATTCCTGCTAACAAGTCATTAGCCTATGCTAGCAGGGTGCTGTACCTGGGATTCAAAGGATTCAGTGTGTTCAAGCTGCCTTAAATATTGAATATTTAAAAAAACAACGGAGCTGTACCTTCAGGTTTTTTTTAGGTGTAGTTTGGTAAGAGTTATTGATAATGACTGCAAAAACTAAACTTCACTGCCTCTCCGCCCTCGTGAAGCCGTGCCGTGCTCTCACCTTTCCCCAGACTGCCAGGCAGTGTGGAACTCTTGTTGTTCGCGGGCGAGTTGGACGACTCCTCCAGCAGCTTCGCCGTCACTTCTCCCGGCTGCAAAGTGCTCGAGCCGTCCTGCTGCCAGTCGCTCAGCGCCCGCTGGAACGAGTGCGCCAGGCAAGCCGTCATGTCCCGCGCCCGCTCCGCCCGGCTGCACCAGAACACCCGGCACTGCAGCTGCTGGCCCTGATGTTTGCAGATGTACAGGAAGACGTTGGGCCGGTTGGCGTCCGCTGCGCAGTAAGCGATGTCCTGCAGGTACGTCTTGGTGAGCTGCCGGCCCGTGCTCAGCTCCTTCACCTCCACGTACCTCGGCCGCACCACCAGAGCGTGATCTTTGTTCAGCTTCTTCCCATTAGCGATGCCGTCGAGCAGGTGGCGGATAGCGTACTGCGCCTGCTCTCGGTCCAGGGAGAAGATTTTCTCCGTGCCCAGGTAGTGCACCTTGAAAAGAGGGTCCCCGTGTGACAAGGACTCCGTGCGGTCGCGGCGGAAGCGTCGACGCAGAGCGGCAGGGGAGTTCTTGAGGGTTTGCATCAGGTGGAAGGTGCTGAGGGACATGGTGCGCGTCGGGCTGGGCTTTGGGGAAATGTTAGCAGAGCCGGTGGTCAGCTGGACCTCTTCAGAGCCTCTGTCACCCTTCCACATTTCTTCTATGAATGGAGCGCAGTTGCATCCACGGCTTTTATCTGGATAGAGAGATAAGAGGTTAGCAGACCCATTTCGTGGATGCGTGTACAGGTACCTAGGCTTTGTCCGGAGTTAAATAACCGATTCTTTTTCTCCTGAGGATTTGAAGCCTCCTCATTTGTTGCAATGTAATGATTTTAAACTCCAAAAAAGAAAAACAACATGCAGTCTGCGCAATTCGTCCAACGGCATGGAAACGCAAAAGGCCACCCAACAGGATCGGTTACAAAATGTGACGCATTTGGTTAAGGTGTGTTCATTCACCGCAGACACTGCCCATTAAATATTTACAATCAGGTTGACTTTGCCCTTAAAAAAAAAAACAAAAAAAAAAGAAACAGACTCCTGACAGACACGCACACTAACAGACGGACTGGGGGAAAGGCCAGGATAAGTGAGAGTTCACTGTTAATACAAACGCAATCACAAGCGCATAGCCTTTCTTTCAACATGTTATGGTCAGCCCTCCAGGACTTGAAGGAAACCGTGACCTTGGTAACTCAACTCTTATGCAACCACATCTGCCCCCCCCACCCCCCACCCCCACCCCCACCACCACTATTGTCTCCCATCCTACAAACCCACACAACCGCCTGTTCTCCATTGTGTTCAATGTTAGTTTTTCCTCCCTTTCTCTTGTTTCACCATTCTTTTAACATCCTAGCTCCATCTTTCAGAAGCCCTTGTGCAGGAAACAGCTTCGCATTCCCTGCTAAATATTTCTCCCACAAAACAATAGCATGCTTCTGCGAGTGTGTGTCACATCACATAAGGGATGCAAATTGACCGAGAGCTGAATCCAGGACATGGACACGGACAACAACAACACGTGTGTGGGTTACAAACAAGTAGTGCAGGAGGATGCTAAATGGACTTGGAAACTGGTGCACAGGTGGCAACACAGTTATGATAACAAAATGGCCTGTACAACAAAAACAACAAAAAAAACTGGATCTCCCTGTCAGTGGGCACTGGGCCAAGCTGAAAACTCAAACATCTATAATCCATATTGGCAGACATGGAAGGTCTCAAGTGCATGAAAAATACAGTCACGTCTTGTGAGCTGAACAAACAACCCCTTCAGTTTTCTGACATGTGCAAAGAAGTCCAAACCCTGCATCACTTGACTTTCCTTTTGGGAGTCCACACAACATTTTTCTGCTTGTACTAACCTTGACCACTTATTACCACATATGATTAAAAGAGTGTTACAAAAGACACTAAATCAGCAGCAAAAAGCTTTCATCTTCATTGTGGAACTTATTTCGATGACCACAAAAAAAAAAAAAAAAAGAAAGGACTTGGCTCATCTCGTTTAACAACTAATGGAGTAATGGCCAACATGTATATTGTTTAATTTCTGTTATAATTGAATTTGATGCTAAATTAAAAAAGTTGATATTCAAAAGTGGGTTGTGTAGCCTTCCCTTCTAAGAAAAAAAAAAAACTTAAAAAGTGATAGTTTTTAGATTGAGGTTCGGCCATGTATCGACTCCACGCTTCAGGGGGAGAAACAACTTCCACACAGTCAAAAAAGATGAAACAGCAGGTAAAACATGTTACAAAAAAAAGCTCACAATGATTAAAAAAGGCGTGTTATTCAATTTTGCTTTTGTAAATGTCCTGAAATTGGTCTTACCTGGCCACAGTTTCATGCAAACTACGTCCTCGTTTGGCGATATTTGAAAGGTTCAGGTGGACGTCTGCTCACACAAACCCGCTCCGGCGGTGAAGTGACGTCACCAGCATAGATCTGCCTGTAAAGAATATGTGTCGTTTCAGTGAGACGTTGCGAGCAGTCAGAGAGAGCTGAAGTGTGCACTGGATCATGCTCTCCTCTCGCTGGTGCCTGTGTGAGGTGAGTGATTCAGACGGCTCGTGGGGAAGAGCGTTTTAAACAGCGTCACGGCGTCACGGCGTCACACGCGGACGAGCGCGTGCGCCTGCGCAGTGAGGAGGCAGGTTCTGTGTGGGAGAAGAAAAGAGGGTGGTTAACAATTAATCAACATGTTTGATTGATTGACATTGTTTTTTTGTTTTTTTTTACGGGAAAGGTATCACGTGTACATATTTACAAAGCCTAGTTAATTTGCTGTAAATCATCTCCTTTCATCTCGTTACTATATAAACTCTATCTGCTCTTCTCTGAAT